GCAGGAATGTGGTCTAAACCCCAGGATCCTGAGACAGATCCCAGTATCAATGTCAGTTCTGTCATCTTCTCAAAAGAGCAGAAAGAGAGGAACAGCACAACTGCAAACGAAGGGAGGCGCATTGCTTCATACTCATTTGGACCCTAATTCAATTGCGCGGCTGCTCCTTCCCTGGTAAGGATGAAACAGTAGCACATAAACACTATTACTTGATTTTAATGACTTTTTTCCCCGTGTTTTCTTTCTCAGCTGCAACAGGAACGTACATTGTAAAATAGCTTAAGTGTATATATAATGTCAAACTCCATGAAGATCAGTAAGCTGCTGTTTTACACACATTTTTAAGCTAAAACCTTGCTTGCCTTAGGTGCCATTGTGAAGCTGTGACCTGAACCTGTGAATATGATGGACAGGATTTGATCCTGTCACATGAAGAAAGCCATAAACAGCCGAAACTGCTTTTAAAGCAGTCACAACCACAGCTCTTCTGCTTCTGGTTCATTCAAAGTGATCCCTTCCTCATTAGATCTCCTTCAAGTGCACTGCTTTGTGGTTTCTTTCCTCCCGGAAACTAAAGAGTGAATGAAAATCTTGCTGTTTGGGATGGCATTAAAAAAAATAATGGCAAATAAAGACATTTTAATTGCATGGGATTTCTGAATAAGGTTTCAAAGTGGGGGAAAAAAATAGCTGTGTGCCTGGTACACAGAGAGCCCTTTCTCTTCCCCTTTGTGGCAGAGGAATCAATGGAATTCATATAAAAGGAGGGGGGTGGGAAGAGAGATAGGAGATGCCTTGCTTGGTACCAGCAGGTCACAAGCCTCATGAGGCTCAAGCAGGGCTTGCGAGGAGGTTGCTGACTCTATCTCCATGTGTACTTTTTTGTTCCTTGCCTTGGATTTGCTGGTCAGTGGCATGCTGCTTTGCCTGGCTCTCCATAGAGCTTGTAGCCTACAGGAATTTGGACAGAGTGGTACAGACATCGCCGACAGAGACTCTGATCACTGACTATCCCTTTAAATGCAGTCTCATGACTTAGTCTTTACTCCATTACCTATTAAAGAAGGAGACAAGACGTACATAGACAGCTTCCATTCAGACACCCAGAAGGACACAGAAAGGCAAGACAATTTAACAGAGCTAACTGTGAGTAAATACAAGGCATTAGAGGTGCTCTCTAGAGCAAAGGGCATGGAGAAAGATTTGTAGGAAATCCTGAAGTGAAAGAAGGTGCAGTATTTTTTAAAATATAATTACGTACAATGTAAAAGGCAAAATTCTGTAAAGAAAGCTATTCTGTCATTTTAGTATTATTCCTTTAAATACGAATCTAAGTGTCTTTTAATATAACGTTGACCAATGCTTGATTTCCCATAAAAATCGGAAGAAGTGATTTTGTGCTGCAAGCATGGGAGCCTTTTGCAAATACAACCTTTTTTCACTGGGATAAATTTCATAGAAGGAATATCTGGGGGGGGTGGAAATTTGAAGCCAGCCTTTTGCAAACTTGGATCTAAACCCCAGCCTAGAGACACCAGTTAGATACCTGCACCTCACAGGGGTGGCCTTCCTTCTGGGAGTACTGGACGTGAGCCCCTTTCTGCTGGGGACAGAAAGGAGCTGTGGGTGCTCGGCAGCATGGAGACTGCACTAAAGTGTCCCATCATGTGTGCAGGTAGCTAATTTTTTAACTGAGGGGCTCTGTGTCTCCACACACTGTAATGGCCAACCATCCTACATGGGTACAGCATTCTGGAAAACTCACTTGTTAGTCAACAGACTCATCACCGTGTCCCTACATTTTTTTTTTTTTTTTTTTTTTAATGACAATAGCTACTGGATAGACCTGGACAAGTATTTTAACAGTGATCATTACTATTGCAAGTGATATCTTAACACTGATGGAAAGAGAAAGTTCCTGTCAGCTCAGCCTATTGCTTTGCTAAATGTATCTGTATTATTAATTGCAGGTATGATTATCTGGTGGAGAGTGTTCCCAGCTCGCCTTCATGTTGTCCATTCTCTTCTCTGCATTTATCCTGTCTGCTTGCTGCTTATCCAAAGGAAACTGCATCTCCTATGATGAGCTGAAAGAGCTGAAGACTGAATTTGCCATCAATCTCTACCGGCATGTATCCGAAGCAGAGAACAGAACCAATCTGGTAGTCTCTCCAGCAAGCGTGGCTGTTTCTTTGGAGCTGCTGCAGTTTGGAGCTCGAGGAAATACCTTTACAGAGCTGCAGGATGTCCTAGGATACAACATTCATGGTAAAGTATTGCTTAAAAAAAGTGCTTCTTGTTTTAGATTTTGCAATAAATTCACAGCTTTACTAAGGAGACAGCAATTGCACACATCATACTAAACTTCTATCTTCCGTCTCACTGCAAGATGTAGCTTAGGAGTGTTTTCTCCACCTTTGATAGCCAGGTATCAGCTGGACAAAGGAAACTCAAGGGAGTATTTGATATGCATGTTATGATTTCTCTTTTTTCTTGATCGGTGCTTACTCCTTTACTGCACCAAAATACAACTACATCTAGAAAAGCTACTGCCATGAACAACAGAATTGCTCCTGGTTTCCCAGAGGTTCATCGTGTCCCTTGTGTCCTGGCCTCCCCTGTGTTCTTTGTGAGGAGGTGCCAGGCAGAGAACAGTCATTTTCTCTCCTATCCCACTTACGTTTTCTCTCCTATGCCATTAAAAAATTTTATAAAATCAATAGAAATTGAATTATCTTTAAGACTTTGCACCTTTGTAATAACATAATGTTATTACAACTGGCCAAAAAGATGAAAAGTTATTAGAAGGAGACTGGCAGAGATATACCTTGACAGATGGATGATGCAATTGCATCTTTCCCTGAAAGCAGGCTAAAATAAAACTCACTGGGAGTCTGGAAGGGATATGGAAAAGGCAGATGTCTTAAAATCCAGCATTAAGTCAGCTGAATTTAAGGATGCTGTTTTCATTTTAGCTCTGGATTATCCTACCATCTCACATCACACGTCAAAAACTATTTTACATTATGGGCACAATGTTTATGAAAAGCAGATGACTGCCTCATCTTCAAAATTTGCAGCTTACATACAAGACTTATGTATAGAGATGACACCGCTATTTCTCAGCATAAAATTTACTTTCAGTGTATGAAGACTAAAGATAAAACCTACGGCAATTTCACTGTACTGTGCTGTAACCTGCCTTAGTCCCCATTGCTGTTCTGTATAGCATTGATATTCAAAACCAACACAGCAGTAAGAGCTAACTCTGGCGGATATATACAGATACAGCTGCGTGTACTGACACAAGGACAGTGCATCTATATCATGAGCAGCTGATATATAAAATGAAGTCTTGCCTATAAGACTCCTGTTTCTGTAAATTCAGTGGGGTAATTTTAAACATTAATTCGTACCAGGATTATACCTTGCTTGACACTTCTGGTCATTAGGGGCTCAGTTATTAAGAAACATCCTTAAGAATTATATTGCACAGTGAAATTCAGGCACAGATTTCCACACAAAATGTAACAAAGAGGAGTGCAGAGGTTGTTAATGACCTGCTAGCTCTTTTGTGCTGCCTTACTTCTTCTCATGTGGCACATCATATCAAGCAGACATTTCATCTCCATTTTAGTTGTCTGCAGCACAAGCCACATGAGCTTTGGCTTTCAGTAATATTAATGCATGAATGTGAAAATAAAGTAGAATGGGATCTATTGCTATAGGTTATAACAGCACATTTCCAGACAAGGAAACCACTTCCTCAAATGGCTTAAATCAAATAGATAAATCAAATACTTAGATCGTATTTCCTATCAGATGAGTAAAACCAAATCAGGTATATATGCATATCTGATAAAATTCCTTTCCTCCATTAGATGTTTGCATTAATGTTCCTGTTGGTCTGTCTTAAACAATAATGAAGGATGTGGTTAAAAACTTAGCAGGCTGAAAACAATGAAAACATTGATGGTTCAGTCACTATTCATGGAGAGTCTGTTCTTACATGCACTTGTAAGCTGCTTTTAATGTTTGGAAGATTTGTTCACCTTTATTCTAGTACTAAGAAAAACAGAGTATAAAGGGATGTCTCTCTAGACAGCACAGACAAAACTACATGCTTTAAAATGCTTTCTCCTTGCTGTTTCATTTTATCTGTGGTAGAGTGTTTTGAACTGTTTTCTGAGTAAGAATTCAGGACTTTGGTTAGCTAAGCACTTTGATATGACTGAAGTTACAAGCTCAGGATACCACACCTCATGTTAACATCTGCTTCCAATTGACTATCTTTGATTTCTCACATCCTCCAGAGAGCTTGCCAAATGCTCCCACGCTAATGCAAAACACACGAGAAAAGCACTTTACACCTCAGACCGTGTGAGTTTTCTTGACATCTGTTCAAGGAGTTCAATATTTTACCCCTTAAAGAGTAATAGATCTAAATTTTAATACCAAACTTCCCATAGGTGGTTACTCTTCCTGCAGGTTATTAAAGGAACACTATTAGGTCAGAGAACATGCACTGGATTCTCAGGTGGTAGAAATTGGTAGATGTGAAACTCTCCCTTTACCCCATCAAGGATCTGAACCAATGTAGGAAAAAATCTCCTGATGACCTAGCTGGAAGCTGGAGGTTCACAGAGGTCCTGCCCTTGACCCAATGCTCAGCCTGGGACAGGTCGTTCCAGGCAGGATGGACTTCCCCACTTAGCCACCCCAGACTGCCCATGTCCTCGGCGGCAGCCCAGCCTGGCTTCTCTCCAGCACTGCCTACACCCACAGGCATCTGGAGAAACTGAGCAATTCCTCCTTTTGCCTAAGTTGTCCCTTGAGTCAAAACAAAGAGTTCCAGCCAGCCCATAACGGCAAGCCCAGCCATGCCCATGGGGAGCCAGATACCTGTGAGCTGCCCAGGGCACCCTGGGTTTCAGACCAAGGCAGAGAAGCACCGGAGCAAAGTACAGCATGCTGGAGAAGCAAGGGGCATTATACTGACACCTCCCCCCCGCTTGGAGATGGTGGCCAGCAACTCATATACAACAGTTAGCTGCTGATATTTCATGCAGAAATTGCGACACTTGGTGGGGAAATTAGAAAGGTCCTGGTGGTCCCACAGAGCCAAGAGGCACTGCTGTCTTGCTGAAGAAGAGCAGCGCTCCAGACATTTCCCAGTCCTCATGGAATACTTATTTATAGAAGGAGGAACCTGCTGAAAACATCTTAAAGGCAAGTATCAACCTCAACAAGACTTTTACTGGCTGGGTGTAGGCAAGTCTCCTCCAAAGCGCAATAAAGGATATGGGAAAGGGGCTGAACCATGAACACGGGAAGTTTGAGGAGATTTGACACAAGCCCCTAAACATTGTTCAGACTGGGTGCAAGTCCCAGGCCTCAGGAGGTCACCTTGGCATCCCATCACAAACCATTACAGCAAGCAAAATAAAGACAGCCAGAAATGGCTGCTAAATCACCCTTCAGAGGAGCCTACTAGAAACTTTGTGGTTTTAAAAACACAAGATCCTCTAAGTTTGCAGGACACGTGTCCCTGTTGGGCCCGCACCTCAACCCTGTATCCATCGCAGAAGTCACCACCGTTGAACAACTACCATGAGCTCCCCAGGAACAGGAGACCGGGGCACCATTCAACTATTTTCACTGGTAGACAGCAAACTAGAGAATACATTACTGAATTTTTGAATGACACTGAGTTTGTAATTGCTACAAGCATTTTGGAAGACCAGAATATAATTTAAAAGGATCCTCAAAAATCAGAGAAATGTGTGAAGCAGATAGGACACAATTCAACACAGACAAGTGTAAATTTCTACATTTAGAAGGAATAATCAGCCATTCAAATTGGGGAACAATGAGCTGAAGAATAGTGTTTTTAGGAAAGGATCTGAGTGTTCTTAGGAATTAAAAAAATGAATATTGAATGGGAAATATAATTGTACTTCCAAAAAAAGCAGACATTGTTGCGGGCTGTACAAAAAGAAGAGTCTCTTGTAACACACACGAAGCAACCTATCAGCTCTGTTTAGCATTGCCAGGGCTCACCTGCAATACTGGGCCAGTTTGGGGCACCATCCTTCAAGAAACAAAACAACACATAAGGGCTGAGGGTAGGAGAGACAGACCTGGGGCAGTCAGGGAGATGCCTTTCCTGGGATGGGTGGCATTGATAATGGCAGGAGAAGGAGGTGGCAGTTCTACAGCATTGGCAGCTCAGCCAGTCACAACCAGAGGTGCTAGATCTCACTAATGGGAACTTGGAGAGTGCCCAAGAAAAAATAATGTACCTTATGAACTGTAAGAGCTGTGTTTACATAGAGACATGAGCCTGATGTGAAATCAGCCACTTCACATATCTGCACTAGAGTGATTTCTACAGCAACATGAAGAGTGCTTTCCTATGCCCAGTTCGTCACTGTCCTTGACAGCAGCGGTTGGCAGTAATACCCTGTAAAGTCAAGGATCCTTCAGTTGTCACAGTGCTTTAACTTTCAGAGGACACCAGTGGCAGCACTGGAGTTGAGAGCTGCAGAGTGCTGGTGCAATCTCTGCTATCCTTTTCTCAGCATGACAGTATTTCCCTCTCTCTTGCCTGGCAGATCAAAGTGTGCAGGATTTCTTGCACTCAGTGTACGAAGGAGCGACCGACTCCAGCCAAGGCACAGTGCTTCAGCTGGCATGTTCTTTCTTTGTGGACGCTGACGTGCAGCTCTCGCCCCACTTCACTGCACATGCTGCACGCTGGGCAAACAGCAGCCTGCAGCACACCAACTTCACTGACCCCAAAAGAACCACAGCCCAAATACAGGAATGGATCACCAGTAACCTTGGAGGTAAGGTAACAACCCATGAGAATGATTGCACATGAATAAAATGTAAAATAAGAGTAATAAGAGAAATTGCATTTAACCAAGTATAAAGTTTTTTGCCACACTCCGTGTTGTCCAAACCAAGGCTGAGAACTAGGAAATCTAATTCTTGTGCTGACGCTCATTTCTAATGTGAGGAAAGAGCTGGAATAGGTCTGAATCTGTGAGTATAAGTTTGCAGTATCAAGCTGGTAACTACTTGGCCTTGTTCCTCTAATTTTTAAAATGGCAATCCTTTGCAGTGTTTTCAGTTTTAATGAGGAGCAGCCAAATTCCCCAGAGACTGAGTCTGCTACATTGAATGCTTTCATGCTGCTGTGGGGAACACGCAGGGCCATACGCTCAGCAGTCAGACTCTGAGTTTAAAAAGTCAAAATAGGAAATAAAAAGAATTTACTTTCCACGCAAGCAAGAAAAGTAACGAAATTAAATTCTGTGCTAATGAAAAAATAATTGAAAAAGCAAGTCTTTAGAAGCAGCAGAGCAAATCAATCCCTCATTTGCCCCATCAGCTGAAGTTACATGAGTGTTAATTTGGCCATCAACATGTGAGGTGATGTTAAACACACACATTAAAGCTACTATTGAAAAAAAAAATTCTATCCTTCTCAAATGAACTGTAATAAGTGATCCAGCTTCATGATAGAAAAGTATTGCTCTAGAAACAGGTACTACAATGTGAGTTCATATTGTGGTGCTCACATGCGTATCGATGAATTAAAAGTAGCTCACACTTAAAAAAATCTTTGAGATACCCAAAGCAGGATCCGTCGAATTGCCAGGTAAAATAGGAGAGGGGGAGAATTAGGATATGAGCTTCAGTTGACTTAGTTACTTCATAAAGCAGTTTGTAATCATGAATCCATTTCATGAGGGATTTCTGGTGCTAACAATGAACAACTCCAAGATACGTGTGGGCACATTTAAGCTAGAAAACCAGTTAGGACCACGGCATGGTGCTGAGCACCAGGCTGCTGCCATCCACACTGTTCAGCGAGTAGCATAGTCCTGGCACAACTTTGGCCCTCAACATTGATCAACTCAACCTCGGTTCTGGGGAGAGCATGGGCCAACAGGCAACCTGATAAGGTCCATGTACAGGTGGGGAGGGGAAGGTAAAGGGTTTAACAGTGCCCTGTGAGTTGTGCCTCCTGCTCTCAGGGCCAGAGAGCGGTCCCAACTTGCCTTATTTACTCACACAGACCTGGCCTTTGGGCCTGGGCAAGTAGGATGGCATGTGTCCACCTCCCTGCCTCTTTTCCTTGCAGATGGGGACATGCATGTCATGCCGTTGGAGAGCGCTGGGTCGCCACTCAGCCAGGTCTCCCTGGTGAGCACCATGTACTTCAAAAGCATGTGGCAAAAGAAGTTTTCCTTTATGGATACCCAGATGTTGCCTTTTACCACGGCAGAGGGGTCAACCCTGAAAGTGCCCACAATGCATCACACAGCCGAAGTTAACTATGGTAACTGTCCTTGATCCAGATTTGCTCTATTGTACAACATGGAACAGTTTTATTTATTTAATTTCCACAGCTACTGCACTAAGATGTGTTATTGTCCCAGCCTGGAGAAGTCTCAGGAGAAATCCCATCAAATGAAGAGACCAGCTGGGTGACCAAATTGACTCCTTATAATCCCAGGCACTCACACAACAGATCCTGGATTCAAAATGGTTCCTAAAATATCTACTCTCCATGCCCCATCCCTCATGGACCAACACCTTCCAGCACTCCATAACAAACTTGTCAGCTGTAGCAAACAACCAAAAAGCACCAAGAAAACATGCCAGGAGAAGGGAACCGGAGAGACTGAGGGTACTGCAGTATACAAAGTCCTTTGCAATAGCATGGAGCTCGTTAAATAAATCTGCCTAGGAAGGGAGGACTGTAGGAAGCACATCCAACACCATGACAGAGGGGCAGTTAAGACTAAAACAATATCAAGCCCCTACCAATTTGATTTGTGGGGTGGGTAGGAAATTTCCTGGCCCCTCAGCCTAATCACTCTTTGTCCCTTGAGTGTGTGAGCACCAGAGAGAGGATAGTATCACCAGGAGCACCAGCACTGCGCACCCATCCCTCCTGTCTCTGGTCACAGACTTTCTCCAAGGCTTTAGGGTAAAACTGCAAATCTTCAGGGCCAAATTATGCAACAAAGGTGGGAGAAATTTTTTCGCCTTTATATCCAATCAGTGGATGATCTCAGCATGGGCTTAAAACAGTATAAATATAGGTCAAACTTTTATTGGTATAATATATGAATACAGTGTATGCTTCTTTCAAAGGCTTGGACTATGGATTGCTGACAGAAGGACTCATGCCACAGGCTTAATTTTCTACCACTAGGAATGCTGCCATTTAGCTCTACAATCTCTTTCAAAATATAAAAACCTCCTTTCCCTTCTACCCTAAATTTCAGAACTGCACTTGGGTAAAAAACTTCCTAATTCCAAGTCTAAATTTTTTCAAAACCAATTTATATCTCTTAGCATCATGCCAGCTTTATCCTTTAAGTTAAATAGTTTCTCTTCACCTCTGATATTTACCCCCAAATCTATTTGTGAGTCACCAAGCTGCCTCTCAATTTCCTGTTAGCTAAGCTGAAGATGCCAGGCTCTTCCAAACTATTGAAAAAACAGATACTCCAATTCTCGACTAGTCCTTTTCTGCACTTCCCCAATTTAAATCCATCTTTCTTGAAAATAAGTGACCAGGAATGTACATAATATTTTTAATGAGGCCATAAACAGCTTGATAAAATGCTCTTAGTATTTCTATGACTTGCTAAAAATACCTTGCATAGTGCATCACAGAATCAGCTCAGGTTGACCCCACCTGGGTCTTTTTTCTTTCTCCTTTTTTTCCAGCTGATGAGTCCTAGGTAAATCAAGAGGAGGGAAATCTCCACAGGTGAATACCTTTGTTTGTGGTTTTGGACCATCATTTGATTTCCACCACTCTAGTCATCACAGTAACTTCACTGTTTGTCTTTGATGAAAGTCTTGAGTGTTGGCAATACTTTGGAAAGCCACAGGTAACCTCTTTTTAACCTGGGAGCCCCTCTTTTAGCTTAGCTCATTGTAGTTTTCCCTTCAAGTGGCTGGTTGTTGCCTTTCATTTCTTGCTCTAATTGCCATCACTTCTACCTGTAAATAGTACCACAGTGAAACTATGTTTAATGTTTTCCTTAAAACTAGATGGCTGGGTCTGTGCCTTTTTATCAAAATTAGTTATTAACTTAAAAAAGCTTATAGATTTGTTTGGTAGAGTCTACCTGATATTGCAATTTATCTCACTTTCTATTTCCCTCTGTGACTTGATTATTCTTTTTTTCCAGAGTATGCTCTAAAACTTCTCAAAGACCTAAAATTTCCCAGATTACTTTCTTTTTCTTTATAAACGTACTCCTGTTTTCCAGTCACAGGAAACAACTGAATCTACAATCTATTAAAAATCTTTGCTGAGTCATTTGCAATTCCACATCCAAGTTCTTTTCACATTCTGGGGTGGTGATCACCCAGGTCCCAGATTATTACTTGTCTCTCTCAAGCAGTGTAAACTTTGTTTCTGTCTCTGGTGTTCTAAAATCTCCTGTTCTTTCCTCATTTGCATTAGGAACCTCACCATTATCCTTTGATACATCATCAGATTATTTCTTTCCCATCAGTTCCAGCAAATAACTGGGATAAATCTTAAAAAAATATTAATTCACAGTGTTCAGCAGCACCATTCTTTCTTCCTCTTTCTCTTGTTTATATGGCTAAAACATTTTCCTTTACTGTGCAACAGTTACATCAAGCAGGCAGTTGGCAGCTTGTTATTTCTATGCCTTTTTGTCTCTGAACCATAATTCACCTAGCTAAGGAATCACTTTTCCTGCTCCTTTGCAAGTTGGTCCTTACTATTATGTCTTTCTTTGTGGTGTTTCTTCTTCCATGGTGTGTCCACCACGCTGCTTCTTCCTCCTGCTGGGACTGCCAGGTCCTGAGAGCGTTCACAGCTCTGACTTGGAGCACTCCAATCCTCTTGATGTTTCAATCTTTTATAACTTAATTGACTTTACTGAGGGGTGCAGATTTTCCCTTTCCAAAACCCTACACCTCATCATCCTTGTTGTTGAGCAACATAAACTACTATATCAACTCGTGATCTTTCAGCCCTAGGTGATTTGGTATCACCAGCTTGCTGCAGGGGCTTTGCTACTCATGATATCTGGAATAGTCTTACGAATAGCCTTACCCTTCATTGCTTCGTGAGCTATTCAGGTAAACAAACAGGTTTCTTGCGACTAACACACACCTATTAGCTCAGGAACAGGCCTTTTCTCTGAACTTTCTCTTCTAGTAGAGTGAGATAAAGAAATGAGAGGACTAAAATGATGGAAGGCAGGGGGCTGCCAGTGCTTATACAAGTGAAGATCTCAGGTAAAGACCAGTGACCAGAAATTCAGCAGCTGAGATGCAGACTGACCATATATTTGCTCCTGAGCCCTTTCAAACTTGATGTGAAATCATTAGTTGTGCTTGTCTGACCATTTGCCTAAACACAAGAATTCCATCCTATCATCCTTAAGTAGGTAGCTGAAGCATTACATATTTGCACAGAAAAGGAAAGTTAGCCAAAATACTGAGATTACCTTTTCATCCAGCCTGAAATGTGTGAGCTCTCTGCAGCTGGAGAGACTTTTGAGGAAAGCCAAAATGAAAGGGATCATGTAAAATTTGCTGATTGTCTGATTTGATAGGGCAAATTCAGTCTTTGTCACTAGAAATACTAGAAACTTTTCTAACAAATCAGTTTGAAATTAATACAAAAGACTGGTTCAGTACAACAAAATAGAGGCACGAGATAACTTTCCTCCATTATTAAATGATAGCAGCTGTCTCCCATCAGGATCCAAAACACAGAGTGAGAAAGATTAGCTGTGGCCTGTTATCGATCTCAGCATTTATAACATTGTTTATCTTTTTAACATTGCCATGCAGAACAAATCAGCCTGGGGACAATTAACACTGCTCTAAGAAAATGTCAACATTACTGTTTACACATGCCTTTTAAACACTGCAGCTATTTTATATATTCATTTTTCCAAGCAATTTGTTAACTGTATTTGAATACTGATTTAGCATATATATAATCCTTATGGGATGCCCAAAATCAGTTCAAGCAAGGAACGCTAAATGTCCCAACTCAACAATCTCAAGTCCTTGATTTTCTTTCTAATTAACAAGTAAGGACTGTATAACCATTTTGCAGAATGTGCTGACTTCAAAATATCAGCATGCCCACAAATTACACCACTCATGACCAGTGCACCACACACGTAAATCTTCCCTGCTTGCATGTTACAAACCAGAAGGTCTTTTCTCGGCAAAGTGATTCACGTGCTGGGAGGTGGTTTTAACAGCATGATTTCTTCATGGAAAGAGTAGTCAAGCATTGGAACAGGCTGCCCAGAGAACTGGTGGAGTCACCATCCCTGGAACTGCTCAAAAAATGGGTAGACGTGGCACTTTGGGACATGGTTTACTGTGCATGGTGGTGTTGGGTTGATGGTCAGACTGATGATCTTAGAGATCCTTTCCAACCTTAATGATTCCTAGTTTTTACTTTCATTAAAAAATAATCCAGCCACCAAGCCAGGAAACATGAAATTATTACTCTACGCTTAATTGGTTTAGTGGTGGACTTGGTAGTGTTAGGTTAATGGTTGGACTGGATGATCTTAAAGGTCTTTTCCAACCTAAATGATTCTATGAATCTATGATTCCCTCTCTGCACTGCATGGCAGGAGGGCTAATCCAAGAGCCTAAAATTTAATCTAGCAGAATAGTCAACACTTAATGAATCCTATCTAATCCAGATCTGCAAAACTAACAGATATTGTACACTAAACATTTGAGACATTCTATACCTACTTATTTATTGGCAAATATTTAGGTATTACAAACATGAGCTACCTATATTCTGTTATTTACAACCCTTGACTCAGTAAGTGTGAGTATCTGCCCTTGAAGATACAACTACACAGTTGGGTGAAGAGGCAGTATTTTGGGTGGTCTGCGGCAATGGCAATGATAAGTCATTTGCTCACAACTTGTATTTAACTCCTGGCCTGCTGACAATTGCTGAGTGTTTCTGAAATGCTATTTATTGGATTAACAGATTAAAAAATAAGAAAGCAAAAACGTGATATTTGAATCTGTTCTACTGTATAACAGAGTCCATTAGAAATGCCTGGACTAATTGTTCATTGAAATTAATTTGAATTAAAATAGTACTTTAGATGGCTGTTACAAATTGTTGCATAACTAATTACAAGTTCAGAAGCCCAACAGCTTTTAATTTGGAGACTAGTTTTTATAACCTTCATCTGATTTTTATATGGTTTAGGCCTAGATTTTCAAAAATAAGAAATTCAGTGCTTAAATAAGCATAAGCCTAACTACTTCATGGTTTAATGT